TTTCAAACTTTGTACAGGATGATGGTTTGGCACTGGATTCACAGCACGTTGGATTGAGTTTACACATGATTTGTGGAGCGCTATGTAATATTATAAGTGCAGCGTATAGAGTTGGAGTGGACATTTATTCTCACTGAGTGTGTTTTATGTTCATATATTTTTTCACTTGCACTGTGTGTTTTATGTTCATATATTTTTTGATTCCCCAAATTGAGTGAATCATCCAAATGTAATTTTTGTAGTGTTTTGCACTTTATCATATTCACTTATTTATTTAATATTATTATACATGATGTAATGTAATGAGTTATGTTTATAATTGTGATGTACATGTTAGTATTTATTTAGCGCTACACCAATTTATTTATTTATTTAATTTGCACTTTATGGTTGAAGTAAGGTGTTTAGCGGCTTAGGGCAGGGTTGATCCATTTAAGCGCAGGAGATTGTTCTTTATATATGATCCACAGTATTATCCTGCCAGTTAGCGCTGCAACATAGACAGCATGATGTGATAACAGGTCTTCATCAGCAGACAGCAGCCCTAAGCTTGGCATCTGACGGTGTGACACCAGCTGTACACCTTGTAAATTATTAACGCATTGCTTTGTGCATTGTGCATGTGAAATGACTGAACATTAAGGGAACAGGTGTAGCCTCAAGCACAGAGAAATCTTCACGCTATGGAGGTACTACAAGTCACAGCAGTGCAATGTGTCAGAACTGGCACCCCAGCACTCTTTCCTCCCAGCGCACACCAGCAGATAAAAGTTCAGTGCGGCTTGCTGGTATAAAAGCGCCCTACAAAAATTTTTACGATCATGTCTAAACTACTCAGAACCCCCATCTTCTGTCTGCCGCAGGCCCTCTCATGGCAAAATGGCTTCCCTTATGAAGCAGACGGACATCAGATATCTCTTGTTCGTTTATTTTCTCACATATAAAGAATTCCTCCGATTCAAGCTGTGTTGTCTAAGGATTACTTTAATTGTTTCAGCCTGAAAGATCCATTGTGCTTAGATAATAGAGAATGCCAAATCTGCCAACCTGATTTACAGGAATGGTCAGGAGACCTGGCAGCCAAGACATCCATGTGAGGAGGAAAGAATTTTATATGTCTGTTTCTGAATATAAAGGGGAAGTTCTAGAAGGAGCATGACTTTGATTGTCGGAGCCCTGTGAAAAAAGTGGCCTTGGCTACATTCCTCCCTTAATGCTCTACATTGTAGGAAAATTAAGCCTTTAAAGCTCAAATGAAACAGCTAAATACATTCCAGGTACATAAAAAAGTACAAAAGTCTTCAGTTGGCTTTTCTTCTGGAAGCAGCCACAGCCTGAATAAAAAGCCAATCCTTTGCCAGCATGCTGTAGAGAAGGACCATTGCTCTCTGTATTGAAGCAATGGTCTCTCTGCAGAAGTCCAACGCATCCTCCCTGAGTAAGAGTTAGAGCTCTCCAATCAGCAAAGCTCATGTACCCTGCTGATGCAGAGTTCTTGCTAGGAAAAATGTGCAGTGTGTGTTGTAAATTATAAAGTACACCAAAAGCCAAAATGTTCTTTTTTTCAGTAATGGATATGGTAGAGAAGGGTTGAACCCCTGTCAGTTTACTTTTTGCCATCTGTCCCACTGGGGAGAGATTTCTCTATACCTCCTGTTCCAGATGTGAGCTCCTGCACATACTGCTCCTTGAAAACAACTTACTCCTTGTATGGCTAATATTATAGCTCAAGAATGAGCCAGTGCACTGAACTGCTAAGAGCTCCCTCTAGTGACGAATCTACAGATATCTGGTTTTAACTCCTTTCCACTGACTGTCCACATATATGCGGCAGCACAGCTGTTGGCTATAATGCCAGGCTGCCACATATACTAGATGCATACAGCTGGCATTGCAATTTTTTTTTTATTGGGGATGTGCTCACTAGAAGCTGTTAAAATGGGCATGACCACTGTGACAGCCAATCACAGTGATCACATGATCAGGAGCCCTTCTTCAGACCTCTGGTATAAAGATCCCCTTAAATGGCTGGCTACCACTGGCAGAAACGGGTTAACCAATTATAGAAATTGTGTGAGTAACACATGCCCCCCCCCAAAATGTAATCTAATTACTTTAGACATGTGTATAACATGCAACCCCTCCTCCTTCCCCACAGCTCTCCAGCCGCATTTACCAGATTGACAGCCGGGACTTTCTTCTTGCTCCTGTGTAAAATGACATTTAGGGCCAGTTCACAGAATTATATAGGAATGCACTTTGCATCCCTGTGCGATTCACATTCAGTTCTGCGCGGTGCAATTTCAGCCCGTTCATTTTGAATTTGCATGCATCATTTTCAGAAACGCACTGCAACCCGGATTGCATGGTACTTTTGTAACATGTGATCTGGCACAGGCAAACGCAATGCATTTGTGACCTGCATTTGGGATGCCATTAACTTACTTTTGATACCCGTTGCAGGTTGCATCTGCAGTGGGTTTTGAACGCGGCTTTGGAAACACACAGTTTTCCACACCGTGTTCTGGTATGAACCAGTCCCTACTCCTGTATAAAATGACATTTACAGAATAATGAACACAGTGTCAGGAAACGTTACTATGTAGCAATGTTATTATTTATGTTATTTTATTGTAACTTCTCTGGCTCATTCACAACTAATCAAAAGGGTAACCATAGCTTTGCATTGACTATGAGGATGTTGAGGGACACATTTTAACACATTTACCTTCCAAAGAGAAAACTTGTATAAAGCAGCTTACCACACACATGCCACATACTTCAATCTCAACATGTACATCATGCGATAATATTACGGATAGGAAATATTGTAACTGTACTAACCACTTTGTCTCCTGAGGATCTACCACCCTTCCTGACCAGGCCATTTTTTGCATTACAGCGCTACGTTATTTTAACTGACAATTGTGCAGTCATGCAATGTTGCACCCAAATTAAATTTACATCCTTTTTTCCTGCAAGTTGAGCTTTCTTTTGTATTTGTATTTGATCACCTCTGCGGTTTTTATTTTTTGCTCTATAATTTTGATTATTTTGATTAAAAAAACAATATTTTGGATTTTTTGCTATTAAACATGGCCAGTAAAAAAATAAAAAAAATCAAATTTTGTCGTAAATTTAGGCCAAAATGTATTCTACTACATGTCCTTGCTAAACAAAATCCCAATACGTGTAAATTAATTGGTTTACATAAAAATTATAGCATTTCCAAATGGTGGTATAGATAATGGGATTTTTTTTTCTATTAGTGATGGCGGTGATTAGCAACTTTTAGCAGGACTGCGGCAGACATTCTGACACTGGGGGGAACTAACTTGGTGTCACTAAGGCTACGTTCACACTAGCCTTGTGTGCAGGCGGCAGAGAGGCGTTTGGGAAGCGTTTTTACCGCTTCCCAAACGCCTCTGCCAATTCTGCACATTACAGCACATGGTGCTGTTCTAACGGGAGCGTTTGCGTCGCGTTGCGTCGCGGCAAAACAGACGCCTCTGGACGAGTCAGGAGGCTTTGAAGCCTCCTATTCTCGTCTATGGTGCCGCTCCGCAAACGCCCGGCCGGCGTTTGCGGTGCGTTTGCAACGCGGTTGCGGGGCGTTTGCGGAGCGGTAACACCACTCAAACTGCATTATAGGCGTTTGTGGGGCGTTATTAACGCTCGGCAAACGCCTAGCAACCGCCGCTAAACCGCGCATGCGGCGTTTGCGGAGCGTTTGCCGAGCGTTAAAAAACGCTCCGCAAACGCCGGACCAACGCTTGCCAAACGCTATAGGGGCGTTTGGCAAGCGTTGGCAAAACAGCCTAGTGTGAACGAGCCCTAACACCCCAGTGACACCAATATAGTGATCAGTGCTAAAAAAAAAAGCACTGACACTGTAATAATGGCACTGGACAGGAAGGGGTTAATGTGAGGGATGATCAAAGGGTTAACTGTGTGCAGGGAGTGTTTTACTAGGGGGCGGGTTCTTCACTGTAAGTACATTGATTGGGATGGCTGCACTGTGCACAGCCATCCCGGGCAGTGTGCTCAAGCTGACAGGGAGGAAGATTGTTTCTAAACAAAACAATCTTCCTCCCCATGGGAGATGCTCAGTAATCACCGAGTGCCGGCGGGTAATTACCGGCTGGGACCCAGTGATTGACATCTGCTGCCGGTTTGCGCGTGCCCCCTACCCGGAAATGCAGAATGACACACACACATTTATATATATATATACATACGTGATCCTGCGCACAGGTGCCGCCCTGTAGCAGTATATCTGCTATAGGGCGGTCCTTAAGAAGTTTTCTTCTTTTTTAAATGTTATTGAAAATGAACAATTATATTCAATTTTATGCGCACACTGCATAAAAATTCAGACACATGTTATGCAATTGTTTTCGTTGTGTCCTTGAGATGATCCTGCATAGATTTATGCTGATCAACAGAGCTCAACAAACCTGGTATGAATAAACCTTATGGCTCAGCTCACATTTCGCCAACCAGAAAGTCGTGCAACTCGCTTGCCATTTTCTTTGTGACTTCCTTGCGACTTTTGTGATTTAACATTGCACTCTATGGTACTTAAGTTGCAACAAAGTCACAGAAAAGTAGAGGAGGAACCCCTTTTTTGTTACTGTGACTTGACTCGCATTGATTAAGACGGCACTCATTGAAATTAATGTGTTTAGACTTGTCATGCAACTTTATGTGTTGCAAGTCGCATGATAAGTCACAGCAGTGTGGATCCAGGGCTAAAAGATTTTTTTTTTTTTACGCTTGATTTTTCTTACAAAATGAAATGAAAAAGCTTCAGCAGTCATCAAAACAGACAGGCAGTAGACTCAATTCACAAAGCAAAAAAGTGGCAGTCCTATGTCATTTGAAAATTACAATCACAGGGCTGAAAACAGAGTGCCTTAAGCTGATGCTGAAGCTTTGTGAATTGAGCCTACAGCCTAAAACATTATGAAATCATCACAGTAACGGCTATATATTATCACCTGAGACATCCGGTGGCATTGTAGAAGATGTCAGCATCATTCATCATGTCGTTCTTGGAGTACTCGCCCTCCTTCCAGCCGGAACATGGGATGATAACACTCTTGGTCAGGGTGCTCAGAGCGTCCCGAATCAGCATGACCTTCAGCTGGTCGTTGGATGATAGGTTCCAGAGTAAGCCTGGAAAGATCAAAGCACCATTATAAAAACATATATTGTGCAGGCAGAAAATAGGAAATCAACTATATTATATGAATGGGGCACGGGAAGCAAACACTATACTATTGCAATGAACATTAGGACCATGATTTATGAAACTGTAGTTAAGGGACACTAAATAGTGCTGAACTGCTTCCCGACCTCCCTATAGCAGAAATACTGCTACAGGGCAGCATGAGTGCGCAAAATCACGTATATATATATATATACGTGATTTTGCATTTCCAAGTAGGGGGTGGGTGGTGATTGCCCAGCATCTCTGACAGGGAAGAGAACTGTTTGTAAACAAAATAGTTCTCCTGTCAATTCGTGCACACTGCTTTGGATGGCTGTGCACAGCACAGCCATCCAAAGCAGTGTGCTTACAGTGAAGCACATGGACACAGCTTATAGTAAAATACATTCAGCCAGGGGTGGACTGACCATTTGGAAACTCGGGCACTGCCGGAGGGCCCGGGGTCAGTAGGGGGCCCCATGAGATGCCCCTAGTACCTTTTTCATAGGCTTTTTTGAGTTTGGGCAAGGACACAGGTGCCCCATGATCCCCTATTGCCCGGAGGGCACCATGAGTTGTCAGTCCGCCCCTGCACCCAGCGCACAGTTAACCCTTCGAGCACCCCTCATGTTAACCCCTTCCTGCCCAGTGCCATTAGTACAGTGTCAGTGCTTTTTTTTAGCACTGATTACTGTATTGGTGTCACTGGGGATGTCAGTGACACCAAGCCAGTTCCCCCCAGTGTCAGAATGCCCGCCGCAGTCCCACTATATATCGCTGATCGTCGCCATTACTAGTAAAAATAAAAAAAAAAAAAAAATTCCAGTATATATACCACCATTTGTAAACGCTATAACTTTCACGGAAACCAATTAATTTACACGTATTGGGATTTTCTTTTTAGCAAAGACATGTAGCAGACTACATTTCAGCCTCAATTTATGACAAAACTTGTTTTTTTAAATTTTTTTACTGGACATGTTTAATAGCAAAAAGTCAAAAATTTCTCAGAATTGTTGGTCTTTTTTTTTTTTTTATAGCGCAAAGAATTAAAAACGCACAGGCGATCAAATACCAAATAAACCTCAATACATGGAAAAAAAGGCCATAAATGTAATTTAGGTGCAATGTTGCATGACCACGCAATTGTCCAGTTAAAATAATGCAGCACAAAATATGGCCTGGTCAGGAAAGGGGGTAAATCCTCTGGAGGGCAAATGGTTAAAGTATATTTTAGGGTAAAATAATAGTATTATTAATAATAGTAAACTAGTACATCTATTCAGTGCAATTCCCCAAGTATGCCGCTTTATAAAGGTTGCAAGAACAGAAAAAAATACTTGTGATCCTGCCAGGGAGTACCTACCTTCCTATCTGAGCTATTTTGTGCTGTATCTGATGCATTCAATTTCCAGACAGTGTTGTCAGCTCTGCCCAGATTCTTCCCTGCTGGACTACAGAACACTTGCGCCTTATGTTATGCAGATGAAGAGAGGGAGAAGCGTTTTGTAGTCCAGAAGGGGGAATTAATGCATCAGTATGTAGCTAACTGATTTTGCTCAGCACATATGCTGATTATACCCCTGACATGATGATATGCTTGATCTTTAATCTACATTTCTGCATTCTAATACAGTACAATTGAGCACTACACATCAAAGTAAGAACAAGAATCGCTTCCAGGTAGATGTTATGATAAGAACTCAGAATGTGAACTTGCACAATGAACAGTAATGAAACCCTTCATGTAATAAGCAGTTTCCTCGCCTTGCACACATGTATTTTTAGACTGTGTGCGCCGTGTGACAGGGTTGGGAATTGGCATCAATCTACAATGTGCAGCATTTCTCACTGACATGAGAGAAACTAATCACAGAATCTGTTGATAAAAACAAAACCATCACATTCATCTGAAAGTGGAATGCTGGATTAAATGCATTACAGAAAACTGCTCTATTTTTCGAAATGCAAGAAAGGATGAAAAAGGGCCACTATAAGTTTTCTTCTGCCACCTTACTTAGGCTAAAGCTGGCCATAGATTGGTCATTTATCTTTCAATTAGCCAGCACGGCCAATCAAAAACAAACAAAAAAAAAAAAAGAACAGTTTCCCCATCTACATGTAGTGCCCTCCTAGTTAGCTAAGGGGAACTAGAGTCCAATTGATAGGGAGAAGGCCTGAGTAGTAGCCTGGGTGTAATAGCCAGAAGGTCAAATTGTCGTCAGGAGCTGAGAGGACACATGTCCAAGTCACTGTGGGGGTGTTTTACTAAGACTGCATGGTGCAAAAACTGGTGATCTGGTGCAGCTCTGCACAGAAACCAATCAGCTTCCAGGTTTTATTGGCAAAGCTTAACTGAACAAGCTGAAGTTAGAAGCTGACTAGCTACTGTGCACAGCTACACCAGATTCTGAATGTACCAGTAAGTAAATCTCTTCCTATATGCGCAAAAAAACCCCAGAAAGGGCCTCAGGTCGGCTTAGATGTTGGCCAGAGAGTAGGGGAAGGGTCCGGTAAATCTGTCAGATTCTCCACTCCTTTTCTTTCCTGAATGAACACAATGAGTGATCAGTACCAATCACTCACTGTGTTCCTTCATAACTGAAGCATATTAAACCATGTTTTTTTTTTGGGGGGGGGGGGGCTATCAGTTTGGGTGTATGGGGCCCTGTAGTTTCTAACAGCACCCCTGCGCTCAAGTGAGGGATGTATATGGTGGACATGGGAACATCTTGTGTTCCTATTCTCTTGTGGTTGCCCTGGATATCCGATGCTCACTCCATCTTCAGCCCTCTTCAGGGAAAGTGCAAGACACTGTGGGGGTGTTTTACTAAAACTGCATAGTGCAAAATCTGGTGATCTGGTGCAGCTCTGCACAGAAACCAATCAGCTTCCAGGTTTTATTGGCAAAGCTTAACTGAACAAGCTGAAGTTAGAAGCTGACTAGCTACTGTGCACAGCTACACCAGATTCTGAATGCACCAGTGAGTAAATCTCCTCCTATATGCGCAAAAAGAACAGAAAGGGCCTCAGGTCAGCTTAGATGCTGGCCAGAGAGTAGGGGAAGGGTCCGGTAAATCTGTCACATTCTCCACTCCTTTTCTTTCCTGAATGAACACAATGAGTGATCAGTACCAATCACTCACTATGTTCCTTCATAACTGAAGCGTAGTAAACCATGTTTTTTTTGGGGGGGGGGGGGCTATCAGTTTGGGTGTATGGGGCCCTGTAGTTTCTAACAGCACCCCTGCGCTCAAGTGAGGGATGTATATGGTGGACATGGGAACATCTTGTGTTCCTATTCTCTGGTGGTTGCCCTGGATATCCGATGCTCACTCCATCTTCAGCCCTCTTCAGGAAAAGTCCAAGACACTGTGGGGGTGTTTTACTAAAACTGCATGGTGCAATTTCTGGTGATCTGGTGCAGCTCTGCACAGAAACCAATCAGCTTCCAGGTTTTATTGGCAAAGCTTAACTGAACAAGCTGAAGTTAGAGGATAACTAGCTACTGTGCACAGCTACACCAGATTCTGAAGGCACCAGTGAGTAAATCTCCTCCTATATGCGCAAAAAAAAAAAAAACAGAAAGGGCCTCAGGTCGGCTTAGATGTTGGCCAGAGACAAACCACAGACAATATGTTTCGAGGGTGACCTCTCTTCCTCAGAGCCAATCTGGGGCTTGTGCTAGTTGTACTGATTGAAACATCTAATTTATGTGATAAGTCTTTTATACATGCATGTTTGGGAGGATAATCATTTTTTCTTTCGTATAAATAAATGGTACTCTGGACAATGCACTAGGCTGGTGTGCCCTTTCTGTTTTTTTGTGCCAAACATAATGCACATATTTTTGCAGGTTAAAAAAATGTGCATTTATTTTTTTACACAGGAGCAAAGTATTGCATCCGTGATCAGTGAATTGTGCAAGGTCAGGCTCCTGCACACTCCTGCTTTCTGTTTGTACCACTGCATGGGCTTTCAGTTGGAAAGCTGCAGGAAGATTCAATAGATGAATGTGATGAGTGCGCTCGTAGAGTGAGAACTGCAAGTCCATCTGGGGCTTGTAGTTTATGCATTCACAGATATCTAAGGCAACGTTAAATGTGACAGCAGCTGCCAGGAAGAAGAACCCTCACCCGCTGTCACAGGGTAAGGGGCTCAGGGGGTGTTGAGGGCAGGTACTGTGTCATGTAACATGTTCCTTAAGGTGAACGTATCCTTTAAAAGATAAGGGAGGTCAGAAATATTGGATTTTTCTTTTTACATTCTGTTATGAAATCGACAATTTCTAATCCAGATGCAGTGTGTAACGAAGTCAACTTATCTGCATAATTTAGTTTGTGAGTTTCTGTGTCCCCACAGGGGGTAGGACATGAGGCTGCACTCCATAAGAAGCGCATTAATTATTGTATCCTGCTTCAGGATAGAGGAAGATGACTCAGCACCACAAGGTCTCTGGTTGAAATAAAAATGTGAAATAACAAAGTAGAGGGTCAGAGCTCCTCCTGTGGTGGACACAGGAGAACTATGTGTGGAGGTCCCACTTGAAGGAGACTAGAAGGGGGTAGAGGACTGCTGCCCACATGGACTGTGGGCTAATTTATGGATCATGGGACAGCTAGGACTTGCAGTTGCATATTGGCTGTGCCTACTGCCCTGTGGACTACTTCACCCTGAGGTTCCACAGTGTTAGTCCATGGACTACTTCTCCTTGCCATGTCTCTACTCCACTCACAAGGGCTGTCAGTGTGTCCCTGCAGCTGTGGTCAGGATGCCCTGAGGAAGTCACAAGATTCTTGATGCAATGCGTAGGATGGAAGCGTGGTGACATCAGTTCCGGTGCAGATGGCAGCCACCATCTTGGTACACCCAATTGCAATACACCCATCTCTGATATTGCTGTTTTACATGCTTGCATGGGTCTGTGAGCCCTGTTCTTAATGTAAGTAGTTACTCTGCTTTTTTATCCAATAAATGTGTTTTACCTACTACACTATGGGAAGTTTGTTGATTTAATTTTCCATGTGTGGTCTGTTGACCTTTGGCTTTACCCCGGAGGGGACATCTGAGCTACTACTGCTGGTGTGTTTGTGAGCATTCATTATCTCCACTAAAGAGGATTGTCCTTTCAATTATCGAGGGGAGATACAGGGATATCATCGCTGAGTTTACTTAAAGCCTATATGACCCCTTGTGGGTGATGGCCAGAGATGAGCAAGCACGCTAGCTGGTGGAGGATTGTTTTTTGCAGTGGTCACTGGTTGTCTTGCTGAAGATACACAGATTTATTGGGACTGTTCACTTTATTGTTGTTTTTTCACAGTTTATATCTGTTCACTATATATACGTGATTTATGCTGTTTATTCAAACTAATTTGTTCACTCATAATTATTGGTCACTTTATTGTTGTCACTATTATTCAATTATGTTTATATATTTACCTTAAGATTTGCTTTATTATTGTCACATTTATTTTCACTTTTTGTGGGGCCGTTTATTTTTTTATCTATTGAGTAGCACAGAATCAGTTAGTAATATATATTTTTATTGCACTATTGAGATTATAGTTAGGTGTTTGCGGCACTTTTAGGGTTATTGGTAGCGCAGGAGGATTTTTTTATCTATATCTCTGTGGCCAGGATACACTGTCCTCTGGGGGCCTGCAATTGCTCTGGGAAGGACCTGTACCCTCCGTCCTCTGGTCCTCCGTTCCCTGCCAACCTACCTGGACCCCTTTGGCTGAGGTTGCTGTTGGCTGGTGAGTCATCTAACTGAGACT